TCATACTTTATTGTTAATGAAGTGTTTAAATACATAAATTAATAGGAAGTATTTAGATAGGTAAACTAATGGAGATATCTTTCAGTTCTTAGATAACTGAACCTATATTTATATTCTATGACTTTATCAGCAGATAAAAACTTGGAAAACTTCTATTGATAAGGGAAAAAATGGTGGATAGTCAATGATAAAACTTGTCATAATATATATTAGGCATGTTGTTATAAATGATTTTTATGCACTGTCACCTTTGATTCTCACAACCTTTGAGAAAGTTGAGTAAATTGGTTTCACAATTATATAAATAAGTTGCCCATACAGTTAATCAATGGTTGAGCCAAGATTCTCATCCAGAACTGAGTTTAACCTCTTTAACCTTCACTGAATACCATTCTACCTTCAGAAGATATTTAATTTCTTTAGCTTGGAGAAAATAATATTGCAAGAGGATATGAGTATTATAAGAGATATACATTTATATGCAAAATGAGAGTCCCTGCTTCCATCTGAGCCTGGAGAGGAGGACACTGGGTTATGCTGCAACTGCAGACGTTTCAATTAGGTCATTTAAAGAAGAAGACACTAGAATATTTTGTCTTGGAAGATGGTAGAGTCTTCTGCAGAGATCAAATAAAGCAAGCTCGAAAGGCCCACCAGCGTTCTTTCTGGAGGGGAAGCGGCCAACGTGGTGAAAGCCTCATTTCAGTTAAACAGGGTACTGTGTACTGATCGAGCATCTTTAGAGACTCCATGGAAAGCAGCAATGAATACGGCTCTGCTGTATAGGATAGCAGGACTTCTTGTTGGAACAGCTGTTTGTTGATCCAGCTGACATTCTCTTTCATCCACCCATCCATTGTTCTCCTTAAACAATAGCGAGATACAAATGTGAGTTTTACTCACTCTAATGAAAAGGGTAGAGTTTCTCTCCCTATAAATATTTTCAAAAGCCTTGATGATTCATGAGATTTGCACAAATACATTTAGAGCCGAAAGTAAGTGTATAAGGCGTTTGGAGAATACTCTGCCCCTGGCATTACAGGGAGGGGAAGGCACCTACATTAAAAATAACTCTGCTTGTGCTTTTAAGGCAAGCACGCTCTTCATCACTCTCCTCTTTGCCCCACTCCCCCCTGGAAAAAATAAACATCATCCAAAACAAAACCTGACACAAGAGAAGACTGCTTCTTGGGTGGGCATGAAGGCAGTCTTGCCCTGAAGCAAGGTGACCTTTAAAATTTCCTTTCAAGCCCATTATTCACTGGCTTTATCTAAACATTGCTTATGAAGGGAGATAAAATATGGATGAGTTTTCAAATGAAGAAAGCAGCAAAGACTTACTGACTCTGTGTTGTTGCAAAAAGGAAATTGGATTTGTACCTTCATCTCCTGCATTTCTCATTTATTTCATTCAGGCATGCGGGGGATGTAGCAAGTATCAAATTCACCTATGAAGCTCATCTTGTACAATAAAAACCTGATGGCTTCATCTCTTTTCCTCTGCAGAAAGCTACGTCTCCCTTTCAAGTTACTAGTAGTTCTTCATGCTCTTCTGTTAAAGAAGATTCCAAACTTTAAAAAATGTCGCTCTGGGCATTTTTCTTTTAGTGATGCTTCTGAAAAGAGGGGCTCAAAGTACACATGAGATTAGACTCAAACACCTGTGGATTTCCCAAACATTTCCAAGGTATCATATCACTAAACCCCTGTTTTGTCTCTGTCCTTCGCCAAGACACTGAGTCCCACTCATTCCAGCTGGCTGTTGCTTATGATTCAGGATGCGGGTTGAACACCACCTCTTCAAAGATCTTTCCTGACCACCCCAATCTAAAGAGCCACTTGTTGCTATCACATCCCATTGTTCCACGGCTCTTCCTAGAATTTGTTACCATCTTCTTTATTTAATGTTCATATCTCTCAACTGAATGTATTCCATGAGAACAGAGAGAGGGCAAGTCTGCTTTATTCACCTTTACACACCCAGCAGCTACAACAGAGCTTAGGAATAGTATGCACCCAATTAATATTTGTTGGATGAATGGATGTATGGTGCCCTCAACAGAAAATATACTGCAAATGTCCATGAATAGTCCATATTATACAAAAATCATGCATGGAAAAATATAGACAAATATTAATTACTTGGCATTTCCAGGCTGGGGAGGAGCCTGCAACCAAGGTATGTACCCTTGACTGGAATCGAACCCAGGACCCTTTGGTTGCAGGCAGATGCTCTATCCACTGAGCCAAACCAGCTAGGGCTGTAACTAACTCTTTCCTTTGCCTTTGATATCTCTGCTTGGACGGCATATTCAAACTCAGTTCCTGATCTTTCCGCACCTGCACACCTTCTCTACTCAGTTTTCCTTATTTCACTCAATGGCAACATCACCCCTTCAGTTGATCGGAAAAGAACTTGGAGTCACCCTTAGGTTCCCTCTATCTCCTATATCCCCTCTCGGCCCTTAATTCAAAATACATCTAGAATATAAATATTTCTCACTTTCTCTACTGCTGCCATCTTGGTCCAATCACCATTATCTCTTGTTTGAATTATTATAATAGACCCTACAGTATTCTACCTATTTTTGCCCTTAGCTCCTACAGTCTAATTTGAAATGCACAATGTTAAGATATATGTCACATCATGTCTCTCTCCCACTAAAAACCCTCTAATACCTTCTCATCCCACTCAGAATAAAATTCAAAGCCCTTATAGTAGTTAATGATCTCCTCAGAAAATTCATCCTCTTAGAATTTGTCTTTACCTCACATGACCATTTATGTCCTTCAGTTGTCTGATCTTTTTATGGAAGGTCATTTTTAGAACACTTCAAAAGCTTTGAGGTTAAAAGACTATATGGAACTTTCTAGAAAAAAAATATGTGTATCTTCTGAAATATACCAAAGATAATTATCAATGAGTACCAGGATTATAAAAACACAACCTATATCATTAAAATGATATGTTTTTGAAAAACTATTTTCAGTCTTTTTATCGAGGAAAGGGTTTAGCCTTTGAAATTGGAGAGACCTAAGTTTGTTTTCACAGATTCACATGTGCAGCACTTATACTCTGGGAGGTTCAGTTGTGCTGGAACTGTGAAATGGAGGGAATAATACCTTGCAAGATGAATGTAAAAATTAGAGAAAGCATATGGAAAGTTCTTTGCATAGTGTGAGACACTCTGTAGGTGCTTTGTAAATGATCATCAATTCTTATAACACTAGTGTTGATGATAATATGATATTCAAAATATGTTTAGTTTACACAGTAAAAATCTATAGACTTTTTCTTTTACTTTTAAAAAATGTATATGTATTACTCATCCAGCTACTCTCTGGTTGTATTCATTAGTATTTGTCCTGGAGAATGTCTTGGCATAGCAGATTATTGATGACAGTGCTCCCTGTTCTACTTTTTGTTTGGAAGCAATATTAATTTATATGCTGATTAACTAGGGGGGCTGGTCACCTTACTCCTCTGCCTTTGTCATAGATCTCATTTATTTGTAATCAATTTTTTCTTAACCCTTACACTCCCAAGGAGATGGTACATGAGTACATTAATTATTTGCTTCATACTTTCATTCATATGACAAACAGCTAATGGACAGAAGCAAAAAAAAATAGATAACTTACAATTTCTTTTGGGATCAAAACTGTTTCAAACTTGCAAAGATTAATTTTGTGAAAATTCTTTCTTACTAATAATATTGTGCATATGTTAATAAGATATAAATATAATGTATATTGAAGGGTCATTAAATAAGTATGTATAAAACTAGGAGGATAGCATATAATAAAAGTAGGGTTTTTTTCAATATAAAATGCATATATAAAATTAAAGTAAAAAGAGGACCTCTCAGACTGACTGTATATTTTTCTCTGGCTCTGACCTACTATTTAGTTGGTCCAGGTTTTGAGGATACATTCCTATATTGATGCCCTTTAACCCTGAAGTTTAAAATTATAACACTGTTGAAATTCTCTATTAAATAATAATTTCATTACATTGTTTACCAGTGTCCTTCGGTGGTGGAGTGGGGGTATGGTATTACAAATACTGATATCTTGAGATCCTGGGATATTTTACAGTAGAAACCGTTTATGGATATAGCTCAATGTTGACCATGATTCTGAGCTTTACAATGAGAGTAGATCGTCACAATTTTTCCTAGATCACCTGGTAGTCCTGTGAACAATTACCAACAGTTCTTATAATTAGTGACTGTTCCTTATGTTTTTGTCACTAAAACTTTATTATGAGTTGCAATGACAAAAGACTATTCAGGGAAATGGAAGAGTTACTAGATGGTGATTTGAAATAAAGAATAAGAGTAAGGAAGGTAAGAAGGCGAAGGAGGAGTACAGAGAAGGAGGGAGGAAGGCAAAAAGGAAGGAAGGAAGGAAGGAAGGAAGGAAGGAAGGAAGGAAGGAAGGAAGGAAGGAAGAAAAGGGGAAGGAAGGGAGAGAGGGAGGAAGGGAGAAAGGGAGGAAATGTGTGAAGGAAAATAAGTGAAAATGAATAGAAATGAAAAATAATAAAGGAACGAAAGAAAGTAACAACCATTTTTTACTCTGTCTCAGTCTAAGGGCTAACACATGTTATTGGATCCTCACAGCATTTCCCATTTTATAGATGCAAACCTGTGTGGTGCCCATAGGAATATTTTATTCCAAGGGATCTTTGATACCCTGAGTATAAAGTTACTCTAAAGCCTCCACACTTCGTTTTTTCATTGGTTTTTATTTTTGGCTTTGTTTTCTGTCTTTGCTCCATAACCATTATGAACACACTCTGTGGGCTAATTTTAGCCACAAGGATTTAATGTCACTTTTAACTACAGATGGCTAGGCAATTAGGTAATTTTGTTTCTCTAGTGGCAGCCCATCAGGGTAGTGTGATAAAACCACTGTAGCAGGAGATCACTCACAGAGCCAAGGGATCCGATCATTTTTCTTGTTGGGCACAAGCTTCCTTACTGAAAACAAAAACAAAGAGGCAGGATCCCATTGTGGGTGAGACTCCGGCTCAGGATTCAGACTGACTGGGTTTGAATCTTAGCTCTCTTTTACAGCCCAGGATAGTTCATACATCTTATTTCTGGGGCAGAATGGAGAAGTATAAGCAAGGTAAGTTAAGAGAAATATGATCATCTCTTTTCCATCATTTTTTTTTAAATTCCACCACATTACTTTTTTATCTCCCTTTTTATTAAAACAACAACAACACACATTTTACCAAATATCTCTCAACTGAGGAGAAAAAATTAAATTTAAAAAAATGTGGTGCCAATTCCATATGGTTTAAAAAATGCCTTGGAAAACAAGTTAAATTAAAGACGAAAATTGGCAACTGCCATCAAGTCAGGTCAGTCCTTTTGGAATGGGCAGGTTTTAACTCCTGAACAGTCAGGTTAGGACGGAAGCCCTGACTCACTTGACCACAGTCTTTTTTTTTTTTTTATTGACAGGGAATCAATACTAAGAGCTGAACATCCAGAACTGGGTCTTCTAGGAGACCTGACTTGACATCTTATTCTGTGTGAGTGGAAGTGGTGAAGAATGTGAAAGAAAGTCTTGGTTTGAATATTTTCCAAAGGTAGAATTTATGAGGTAATTGAAATCCTTTTTGACAAGTATTGCCTATGCATGCCAACGCTGAGCCATTTACTATAAATTAGAGTGAAATCTCTGTGATCAGAGCTGCTCACAAGGGAGCCTATTACCAGTAAGGGAAGAGGAGAGGTTGTGGTAGCCAGCTTATTTGGCACAATGGGAAGTGATCCAGCATTGTTATTCCAAGTTAACATCCCTTTCCAAATTATAGTACTTTGCACATGCTATCAACTTTTTACTCACTGCACTTCTGAAATAAAGAATTTTCTTCAATTGCCAGGTAAGGAAGAGTGGAACTTAGAGGTTAAGTTCAGGTTATCGTGATGGGTTAGGAATTCGGGCTGGAATGCAGTCTTCCGGATGCCCAGTATTTATCATTTTACACCCTTCAACATACTCTCTGATGTGAAATGCTGATGACTTCAGTATAGGAGAATCTATGAGGCTTCTCTACGGCTTGGAAAATTAGAACTTGTTGCTCTCAGAAGTCAGAAGTAGACAGTTCTGAGCCTGGGCATTTGCCACTTGGAGTCAATAAATCCACACCTTCTTTCTTTCTTCCTTTCTTTCTTTCTTTCTTTCTTTCTTTCTTTCTTTCTTTCTTTCTTTCTTTCTTTCTTCCTTCTTTCCTTCCTTCCTTCCTTCCTTCCTTCCTTCCTTCCTTCCTTCCTTCCTTCCTTCCTTCCTTCCTTCCTTCCTTCCTTCCTTCCTTCCTTTTTTTGTTTAAGCCTCACCCAAGGATATTTTTCCAATGATTTTTTTTTTTTTTTTTTTTTTTTTTTAGGGAAAGAGTATGAGAGAGGGAAAGACAGAGAGAAACATCTATGTGAAAGAAACACATCAATTGGTTGCCTCCTGCACAACCTCTGACCAGGGCCTGGGCCGGGGAGGAGCCTGCCACTGAGATATGTGCCCTTGACCGGAATAGAACCTGAGAGCCTTTGATCCACAGGCCGATGCTTTATCCACTGAGCCATACCAGCTAGGTCCATTCTTCTCCTTCTAGGAGAGTAATCCTGCACGGGATCATGGCAGCATTCTCCAGTTGTTTCTCTTACAATTCAAGAGAAGAAGAAAAAAAACTACATTTAATCTATAGTTAAAACACTATATAAAGCCCTGTTTTGAGTCACCTCATTTCACATCTTGAAATGTATGGATTTTCTTAGCATTTAAGCACTCACTGTTTTCTCAGTTTCATGTGGAATTATTCATATATATCACTCCATTCTCATACAATATTTTTTGTTAGTGGTGCTGGGTTTTTTTTGTTCATTTACTTATTTTGTTTTTTTCTCCTTTCGTTTTTGTTTTAACTTCCATGTTAATCCCTGATTAAATTCCTGATATTAGTGACAGGTTCTGTCATTTCAGGTGTAGTATATTAAGCATTACTGAAAACGGCTCCATATCAAACTGACCTCCCAGGAGATGACGGTAAAGCACAACTCATTGGCTTAATCATTGCATTCCACAAAGGGAGATGTCACTTCACTAGCTTTCCTCTCAGTGCCAGGAAATTGGCTCAAAGTATTTTTCTTCAGATAAGTGAACATGCTTGTCATAGCTTCCTATGCCTGTTAAATCTTCCTATGAGATATTTTAAAGAGAAATATGTAAATATTTTGACTACTTGTGCCATTCTTTTCAGACTGCTTTGCAGATTATATATGGGTCTCTATATGAAACAGGAAGGAAAAGCAAGTAGAATTTTCTTAATGTAGCATTTTTCATTAATGGAGACAGAAAGACTAAAGGAAGAATTTTTTTATAATGGAGTCTTAATGTAAATAGCCAAAAAAAGAGGAATATATACTCCGTGAGCTGGCCTCCAAGCCAGCTGATGGAAGAGTATTATGAGTCTCTAGGACAGCATGTCCTCTTACCTTTTCTCCCTGACAGAAGATAAATAAACCAGGGCTTAAGAGTAGAATATTTGCCAAAGACACATTAGTGGAGACTTGGTATGTAGCAAGACTTTTATGGGTTTGCTACATCTTACATGAACAGAGGTCTGTAAACCACCCTTTAATCTTAGAAATATGTTCTTTACAACCTATAGTTAGCAGATGTGATATATTCTGGACATAGATGGGGTTGGGAAAAGTGAGGGAGTTTTCCCCAGGCAGTTCTCATTAAAGTCTTTCTTTCAATCCAGTTATTTAATTTTTGCTTTTTTCATGATTATTATTGAAAGAACTAGAGGCCTGGTGTACAAATTCGTGCACGGGTGGGGTCCCTTGGCCTGCTGGCAATTGGGGACAATTGTGGTCGGCTGGGGGACGAGGGGGGGCGCCGGGGTGGGGGGCGCGGTGGGAGCAGGAGGAGAGGACCACTGGAGATTGGCTGGCCACAGGAAGTTGGCTGTGGGAGTGCACTTGCATTGAGCGTCTGCCCCCTGGTGGTCAGTGCGCATCATAGTACCAGTCATAATGGTTGCTTAGGCTTGTATATATAGATAGATAATATAATGTTGATGAAATTTGAAGCCAATATCATGTAATAATTGTACTGGTTCAAGTCATCTGAGGTAACACAGTGGCAGATGTTTTTAATTGCCAAAGGACCATATTTTTCAGTGGAATATATTTCATTCAATTTGGGGGTTATAAATATAAATGTATAATTTCACTGAGGAAAAAATTATATCACTAATACTTGCTCACAGCTGTGGGGCTGAATAAAACAATGAACCATGGCTCCTGATTTGAAGCAACAAAAACCATCTCTGGCCTTAACCAAAAGATGGCAAGGATGCCCATAATTGACAATTGGCTGGCAGTCTGAGGCTTAGACAATGGGGAGTTGAGTCTAGGCTGCAGGATGTGCAGTCAAAGTCATGGTATAGCCATTATCTGGTCCCTGGGCTCTTGCTTTGGTTGGAATCATCTGATTCCCCTTACATTTCCTCATTCTTTTCATTACTGGTCCAAGGTTCAGAGGTCCAGAACCAATGCCTTATCAACAAATCTTACCTACTGGCTTGTTCTGTGATCCAGCCAAGAGTGTAGAGGAAGGTCCCAGCTTCTGTAGTTTGAGATAGAAGCAGCAATAGTAGACAAGCACTGGGAATTATCTTCTTATTATGTTGGCACACAGTGGAAAACTAATAAAAACAGTCAGAAGTAATGAGGTCAGCCAAAATTGACAAATGCTACTCCACATAAGTATTGGCTTGGAAGTCATGATGGGTTTTTAGACTGGACTTTATCATTAAGAACTGTGAGACCTTGGAAAAGTCCTTTGTCCTCTCTTCCTCAGTCTTTATAATGTCAGGGGCAACAGGGTTGGGGGGGGGGGGTGCTGTATGAAATAAGTGAAGGAATTAAGCAAGAAAAACCCTTCATAGACACAGACAATTACCAGAGGGGAAGGGGGATGGAGGCAGATAGAAGTGGGTAAAGGGAGGATAAATGGTGATGGAAGGAGACTTGAGTTTGGGCGGTGAACACACAATACAATATACAGATGATGTATTATAGGTACACTTGAAATCTATATAATTTTAGTAACCATTATAATCCCAATAAACTCAATAAAATATTTTTAAGATGACAAATTTCTTGTAGAGCCGGAATGGGAAGTAAATGTTATTTGCATGGTCTTTCCTCTGGTTTCCATAGCAGACATCACTAATCAATCACTGTATTCCTTCCTCTGGAGATATGACCTCAGAATCCTTCATAGAGTGCTCTGGCAGCAACTACTAAATTATTAGAGTTGGAAAATGAGATTAAACCTTGTAAATATCTCTGAACTAGAGGTTAATTATATTTCCTTAAAGTGTTAACATTCTTTAAAGTTCCAGGACTAAGAAGTATTATTAGTTGAATTGTTTTAGAAAATTAGAAAGAACCTAGATCATGTGGGAATGGAATTATAAAGTAGCTAATCCTGTAATATCTGATTAAAGAGGAAGAAAATATTTTTAAACTTGAATGGCTTGTATTATGAACGTTGAGATGTTAAAAGAACACTTTGCTCCATTGTGGAATGTGCTGGTCATCCCCTGCCATTAATCCGAGAAAGTCCTCAGCTCACAAAGACTATTCTTTGAATAATAAAAAGTAAGATATTGGTCTGAAGCTTAAGTGATGAATTATATTATTGATGATATATATAAATGTAATATTATATTGCTTATGGTAAAGAAATTACTGTTAGCCACAATCTATGTTGTTAATGGTAAAGGAACTACTATTTAAGTAGTCTTTTAAAGTTTATAGAAAACAGGATCTAAAACCGCTCAAAAAAAATCTATCCTAGAATTTTCTAGGCTATGCTACTAAACATAATGGCAAGTTTAGCTATTGTGACCAAGTACAACATATTTATTTAGTACCATTTTCATTTACTAATATGTTTAATAGTATGTATTTTGTATTTGGAGATCTTTAAAAATATCTCAAGCTACTATTCAGACTAGATGGATGTGCAATTTAGGACAAGTAACACCAGATGGAATGACTATAGTTTGCAGAAATTGCTGGTCTCCAATGACTACAGCATCCCTTCTCCACCCAGTAGGTTTCCATTGTCTTCCCTGTAACTCTGGGCTGTGTTTGTATTCATCTGCACATCAGAGTTTCCTTTTGGAATGATAATAATTTCTAATATGTCCTTGAATCATGCCAGGAAAATATCTTTCTAATCCAAGGAAAATATATATATATATGTATTTTATAAATGTGGCACTTTAAAAAAATATTTATCTTTATTGATTTTAGAGAGGAAAGGAGAGGGAGAGAGATAGGAACATCAATGATGAGAGAGAATCATTGACTGGCTGCCTCCTGCACACCCCTTACTGGGGATTAAACCTGCAACCCAGGCATGTGCCCTTGACCAGAATTGAACCTAGGATCCTTCAGTCTGCAGGACAACGCTCTATCCACTGAGCCAAACTGGCTAGGGCCCAAGGAAAATATTTGGGTCCATGAAACGACAAAAAGTCTTATAAAACAAATTAGGGGCACTAGCTTTCTGAAGGGTCCCTAGAACAAAGTTAGGTTCACAAGCTAACCTCCCTCTGTACCTGTGGTGGATTACAAAAAGACCACACATTTTCTCATTCCTGTATGCATGCCCTTTAACAATGCAATTTTGCAACTTCTTTCTTCAAGAGAGGTAGAGTCTATTTCTCTACACCTTGAATCTGGGTAGGCCACATGTCTTGCTTTGGCCTAAGGGTTCTTATCAAAATAATGCAAACAGAGGTTTGATAAGTGCTTGAGCTTTGCTGCTCTTGGAAAGACCAAGCCCACGACCATGTGAATTAGTCTACACTAGCCTTCTAGATAATGAGAGACACCTTAGTTCCATCACTCTTGTTAACATCTTGTGAATCGTCAACAATGTCAGTGAGGCCTTTCAATACCTTTCAGCCCTATCTGAGCTGCCCCACTATAAACTGCCCAGTTAATTCTCAGAATCATGAGAAATAATCTTTGTTGTTTCAGTATGTTAAGGCTTGGGGTGAATTTTTAAGGAGAAAATTATAGCTCCTGCCCTTGCTTGTATTCGCCTCACCACTAATCCAGGACTGGTTTGCCTACCTCAAGGAATAATCTCTAGGAATTCCTTAGATCTGCCTACTTGTCAAGGAATAGATTGCATCCTAGATGTACTGCAAAGGGCTTCTGATAGCTTTATCATAGTTTTAAAGAAAATTGACTTTGGACTTTTTGGTTTTTATTATTGTAGCTTTAGGCATTAGTTTCTTTGCGTGTTTTTTTTTCTTCAATTAAAACATCTATGAAAGCTTCATATCAGCGAATTTTAAACTATCACAAAAAAAGTAAGTTCTCACTTTGTTTGGGATTAATCTGACCTGTGCATTTGTTGTGGCATTGAAGAGTAAAAGAGGAAAATGAGACCAAAAGTATCTCAAAGAGAGAGGGATGAAGCCTCATAACATTTAAGATGCATAATATTATCTTGGTAGGAAACTAGAGGCCAATTTGCTATTAGAATATAAGTTCTTTGAGATATTTTGCTCTAGGTCCTAACATTCCAAGATATATCTTATTCTGCATCCCAGGGCCAATTGATTCATGTTTTCTCTCCTCCACCTTCAGGCTACTTCTAACAGCACACCGTTCGCTTTTCCTGGTGAGTGTCTCCATGTAGAGTTTCCCCCAGAATTTTTATCTGTTTTGATGGTGTTACTTGGTCCCCTTTCAGAGTTAGTGCATGCACATATACTAGTATATGCATGGATGCATTTGTCATATTTCTCTTCTCTTTGTGCCTTGGAAATGGTTTTCTGGGGAAAACTGGCCAGAGACATGTTTGGGAGGAATAGCAATGCATGGTAATCTATGGTCAGAGAGATTGTGCCTAAATTATATATCACATCTGTACTTATGAAAATGCTTTTTTGTTTTTATCATATTTCAGTAATGTGATAGTGTTTGGGGGTACATAAATGTGCTGTTTATGCAGTTCTGGAGTTTTTTTGGTCTGGTGTTATGATGTCAATTATTTCAATTGTTGCAACTTAGGAACCAATTTAGGAGAAGTTGACAGAAAGTGCTAGTTCGTAACTAAGTATGTAATAACATTGGCTTTGCATTCAAATCCCAATACCCAGATTCAACGTAGAGTGACAGTGTTCCCTGCAAAAGTTGGAATAGGGTCACAATAGTTCCTATGGCAGCTGGTTTTGAATAACTACTGGTTAAGAATTTCCTTTGGTTTGACAAATTAAAATGATCAAGAATAAGAGTCATGCAAAACAGCTCATCATTTTCAGTTCAACAGCACCCTTTCGATGTGACAAAAAACATGTAATGTGTTTTTTTCTAGAAGTCAGTATCTTTGTGAATATTTTATCCTGAAAATTCAGTTTAAATTCTATCTAAATTTTTCCTTCCGAAATAAGTATAGCAAGCATATATTGAAAGCTTTCTGTTAACTCTGGTCAAGTCTGTGAAATCCACCGACTTCTAAAATAGAGGCAGCAGGAGGCAGAGGTGTCTCACAGAAACGTATTCTCTTAACTTGTCCCTTGCTGGGACTGCCTACATCAATACAGGAAAGCATGGAGAGAATGATGTTCTATGTTAATAGTAGATAAAGCAAATTTTGACCTGTAGTTAGTAACTTGAACTCCCTTCTGCTTCTCAGAAGGACAACAAATAAAAAGAAAGATGGTGTCTGGAACCTTGGGATGAGTTAGACTCTAGCTGATTATGATAAGGATATGTGAAAAAATAACTCTTTTTCAGACTTCTTCTGAGAAGACAATCTGCTGGGGTCCAACCCCAGCAGGTCCAGGGGTCCCCAAAGGTGTGGACCGAGTCGGTGAAGAAGGAATGACACAGAGGCTGCGTTCAGTTGATCAGCAGCCTAGCCAGTATCTCTAGCCAAGTTCTGGTCAGGATCTCCGGCAAAGTTCTGGTTAAGATCTCCAGCCAGGTTCTGTGTCCATGTTCTCTTGCTAGGTTCTGTCTCTAGGTTCTGTCCAGGTTCTCCAGCCAGGTTCAGTCACCAGGTTCTAGTCAGGTTCTCTTGCCATGTTCTATGCAGGTTCTGTAGCCAGGTTCTGTCTCTAGGTTCTTTTGCCATGTTCTCTCTCTAGGTTCTGTCTCTAGGTTCTGTGTCCAGTTTCTGTCCAGGATCTTTTGCCATGTTCTCTCCAGCAAAGTTCTTCTGTCTCTAGGTTCTGTGTAGGTTCTGTGTCTAGGTTCTGTGTCTAGGTTCTGTGTGTTGTTGTCTTGTTACATCTGTATTTATACCAGTTGATTTCAATCCTATCAATCTCTATTCTAAAGGTTAGGGCGTTTCTTATCTCCATTCCAGGGAGTAAAGATTATGTAGCTTAAGCATGATTGTTCGTAGTTAAAGTGATTAATTACCCACCTGGCACTTAGTTAAGGGGTTTTATTCCCTCCCTAACTTCAGGGGAAAATCCCTACCTGGGGAAACAACCTTTCTCAGAGACCTTGGTTAAAACACATAGTGCCAAGAAGGTGAGCAAACATATTAAGAACAGTATGCCATATATGCCAGGTCCCTTGAAACAGCAAGGATGGACCGGCTCCCGGCAACAATCCATATTGGGGTTCTGGTGATTTATGCTCTCTTTTCAGTATCCAATAAAAAATGGTTAAATCATCAAGCAAGAATCCTTACTGTGCCCGGTGTGGTAGTTTAGAATCAAATTCTTTCCCTATTTTTTTTTCACCAGTCAGTGGAAACACGCTTGAATTTCAACATGATTTGCAACCTCCAGTAGGATGTTTACTATTATGTATTCCTAACTGTTTACAATCAAAATTAGTCTTATGTTATTATTAATCTCTCCAGTGTTTGTGTGGAAATTATAAGGACATGAGTTGAAAGGTCAAAGGATCTTTTAGCTAGGGCCAAAGTTTAGAATTATCTTCTCTCTAACCAAACTATCCTACAGGCAATCATTCTATGTCAGTAGCTCTTAGAATTAATAACAATGGCAAATCAATGCATTAGTGAGTCTATATTTTTCATGATACTGGTACTGAGCATCTTGTATAATATATGCAAAGAACTGTTCTGGTGTTTAAAAAGAAATAAGAACAAAGCTGTGACCTTAAGGAGAAACAGGTGAAGATATGGAGTGGCACTAACTACCTTTTAGCTCTCAAGGAGCGCCTAGCTTTTGATTAAGTTGGAATAAGGTACTTGTTATGTTTAAAGATCTAAACAAACTCATCTTAAGTTATAAACCTGACTGTTGGTATGATGCATTGATTTACAACACATTTTTAAAAAAATTAACACCTATCATCATTTATTTACTTATTTTTTCAATTAGGAAATATTTATTGGGTGTCTGTTATGTGCCAAACCCTGTACTAGTCTCTGGAGACAGAGCAATGATGAAAATGGAGAAAAATTCCTGCCCTGTGTAGTTTTGTAACGGTAGGGGAAGACAGATGATGAAATGAAGAAGTTAAAATACAATAAGTTAAATGGAAAAAAAGTTCTGGAGAAAATTAAGGAAAGAAAGTGGGATAGTGTGTGTGTGTGTGTGTGTGTGTGTGTGTGTGTGTGTGTGTGTGTGTGTGTGTTAGGGGCAGCAATTTTGAAAAGGATAGTGACAGACACATTAGATTTTGAAGTAAAAATAATAAATGAGTCTGACATGCTCATGGAACTGACAGCCTAGTGGAGAGGAAAGATGACTATATGATACTTGAATTAAATTGTGGTATTAGAATCAGAGGTATAATAATGTTATGGATGAGGACACAGGGCATGGAGACCTTGAGTAGCTTAGGGGATCAGGAAGGCCTCATGGATAAAGTGACATTAAAATTGAGACCAAAATGGTCTGGCTGCTGTGGTTCAGTGGTTGAGCAACAACTTATGAACCAGGAGGTCATGGTTCGATTTCTGGTCAAGGCACATACCTGGGTTGCCGGCTTGATAGGGGGTGTGAGGGAGGTAGCCGATCAATGATTATCTCTCAACATTGGTGTTTCTCTCTCTCCCTCTTCCTTCCTCTCTGAAATCTATCTATCTATCTATCTATCTATCTATCTATCTATCTATCCACACACATACATATTAAATGAGACCAAAATGTAGAATAAGCCTCAGAGAAGTAAAGTGTGTTAGTGAGTTGAGGGTCAGCACAGGAAAAAATAAGTTCAAAGATCCAGAAGGAATTGAGAACTTGGTACATTCAAGAAACTAGAAGTTTAAAATGGCTGAGGTGTGAATTGGAGAAGAGTGACATGAAATGAGTTTCCAGAAGTAAGCACTGGTCCTATTGAATGCCGTGTTAAGAAATGTGGACTTGGTCCTAATAACATACAGAAATGATTAAAATAATTGAAAGGCTTGGAAAAGACTTGAGGTTTGTCCCCAAGGGCCAGGAGGGAGGCAGAATCCTGATCCTGAATGTCCTCTTCACGCTGCTCTTTGATTCAACTCATTAGCTTTCCTTTCATCTTCAAAATCCATTTATCTGTGACCCACACATTTATTCATTTTTTTCAACAGATATATAATATTGGTAACTTACACTTGGGTCATGTCCAAATAAACCCTTTTAATTCAAGTGTCTGAAAAGATGCATAGTGTTTCTCTTAGAGCTTAATGAACTAAAAATTCTGGGTGAACAACACAAAGCACAGGGCTGCAATTTTTAATCTTAATTTTCACTCACTTTAGTCTTTATTGCATTTGACTGCCTTGCCTTACATTTGCAAAACACAATAAGAAAATAAGTATAGCTCCCTTGACATATTACATATTGTTTGGTTTCCAAAAATATAATGTACATGTATCATTCTCAAGAACATTCCATGACATTCCCATGAACTTTTATAGTTGGAAGTGTTCACAGGGATCTAAATTATTAGAGATGAGGAAACTACCCACTTAAGAGAGAATGTTAATTTATATTATTTGATAAAGTTTTCCTATAGTATTATTACTTTTATTTTATATATTTTATATGATTTTGTTTTATATATTTTAATAAATTGTTTTTTCAAAAAATTATTAATGCAAATATACGTTGCAAAAATCCAAAAGTTGTAAAAGTGTATACAATTAAGTTTCTCTTCCATCCCCTTTTTTAGGCTACACTATTTCCACCCCCTCATATTATTTTTATGGAATCTGTTCAGATATATTTTATGTATAGATTAGCATATATTAAATATGTGTGCACATATTGTAAGACACAAATTTTAGCACTCTCTGAATATGTTTTTCACATTGCTTTATCACTGAGCAATATATTTTTTATATCATTCCATATAGATATATAGAAAGAGTCTTTAATTCTTTTTAATAGTTATATAGTATTCTATTGCATAGATGTAACCTTATTAATTTAATTAATTCCCTGTGTAAGGGATTTTATTTCTCCAAATAGTTTCATGATAAAAATATTTCAATAAATATATCTTATATAATATTATTTGTACCTTGTGGGATTCTGCCTATTGGCTTTTTAAACATACAAGTTTAGGTGCAGAGTATGTGAGTTTTTAAAATTTTAATAAATATTGACAACCTACTTATACAATGCTATATATTTTCATTAACAATTAATGAGAGTGCTTGATTTTCTCACCCTCTTTAACACAGTGCCTTATTAAACTATTTGATCTT